ATCTCATTATCTCTATTGTGGATGTTTAACAAATGTGAGATGAGTGTATTTATTCCACTTTTGTGCTTTGCACATACTGTTTATAAAATGGTTTTTACCTACTTGGCCTTTTTGTTTTTTAGTTTTTGTGATTCTACTCACCAAAAAAGTAAATGTCACATTATAAAATCCTCCTGCGTGCAGGTTTAAAGTAATGTATTATGTGTATAAGAAACCAAAATTATCATAGCTGTATGCTGAAGCTAAAACAAGCTTTGTGTGAGGCTTATGGAAGTCGAGGGTTAAATTAATGCTGCAAAATGCACTCAGTGAGGTTAATGAAGGAAACGTGATGCATCCAACTGGAGTGAACACCTAAATAGTAACCCGTTTGTACTGAATTAACTTTTCTTGTCACAGTCCTTTTTTTCGCACAAGTGAGAACAAATCATTTACAATTATACATCCTTTTATATGTACATGTGTATATTTATTCATATAGCGTTCGTGTTTTGGGTTTTTTTGCAAAAAAGATTGTGATGAACAAAACTGTGTTTAAATTTGGAAGTATAAATAACCTGCAATAAACTCCATGTATTTTAAAGTTGCATAACAAATGTTTACATGTGTACAGAGCAGGTGAAAAAATTCAAAGACTGTAGAAATTCAAATTCAAACATGTTTATTAGAAAAAGAAAAAAAGATCCTTGTGCAAACAGAAATTACACCTCTTAGAAAGAGGAGATGATGAGGGGAATGATGTAATCAAGGTGGTGGTTTTGATGTCCATCTCATCTGTGGGGAGGAAAAAAAAGCCTCAGTCGTTTCACAGTTGTTAAACCTTAAAATCCTGTTTGTTTGTAATTATTCCTCCAGATTTTTAGTAGTGCTCAGTGATCAGCCATGAACTAGGATGGAACAAATTAACTCTATATATGTAGCCCAATAACCTTTATTTCTGTGCATTTTCCTTTATTAATGACACTTACTGAAAACTGTAGAAGGGACTTTTCTTCAATAATAGAATAATGTAGCACTGACAGCATCAAAATTATACTAACTAAATGTAAAAGCTGCCATACTATAAAACAGTTATAGATGGATTTGAGTCATGTTTTTTAATACATGGGGGTATACATAATAGAAACACAATAAAAAGAAAAACTGAAAGAACCTGATTTTGTCCAATTTGTTATTTTATGATGATCAACATCAGAAATGACAATGTTAAAAGAAAAAACGCAAACAGTGTCTGACCTCACTGACCTCTGCAGTCATACTGTACAACTCTACTCCTGCTTCTTGGGGTTATTCACAGCAACGTAGTGGTATAACACCACTAGCAAGAACAAGGAGACGCCAAGCATGTTGGCAAATATGGCCAGCTGCACGTCTGTCACCATTCTGCAAAGGGACACAGAGGCAAGATTAGGCAGGTGCTGGGGTGAAGAAAAAGTGTGTTACATCGTAGGAGAAGAGGCATTTTCAAAAGGTTAAAATAAAGTCATGTTTATTTTGTATATTCTGTGCTTATTTTTACAGCTTTGGTAGATATCTGAATGCATTTCAGGACCTTTCACCAGTTTCAAATAAATGTCATTCTTTCTCACTAGCGACTTGAAGGTAAGGCATGACAATTATGTCACAAATTAACACAGAAAGTTGGTAAAAAATGAAATAGTAGCGAGATCATGCACAACTTCTTGTAATGTTACAATTGAGTGCCGACATTTTGCACGTTGCCGCAGTTTGCATATTAGGATGTTTATGCGAATCAACAGAGCGATAATAACATATAGGAGTGATCGGATATTTTCAAAATAATCCGCCAAATTAGTAAAATTTCCAAGTCGACAATCAACGTAGCGTTAGCAATGCTAAGCATGCTAACTACTAACACCCCCACGAACTGAACTAAGTAAAATAAGTAACGTTTCATATTATATTTCAGCAAAATTACAAATTTTATCCAACTGCAATCACGTTTACCAAATGTTATCACTCACATTTTCTGTTAAATTGCTTTTTAACTCCCGGTTCGAGCAATACCCCAGCTCTCCAACAGCAGGTAAGCGCAGTGACGTTTCTTCCGGTCAAAGCGGAAAGCCACGTCACATCTAGGAGCGCCATAGAAGCTGTTTGATTGATGGAGTTGGTGAGCAATTAACAGGAGTC